AATAACATTTAGTTTGATTTTTTTTTATAAATTTTAAAATTTTTTTTTTTAAATATTTTACAAAATTAAAAAACCAAAAAAAAATTATTAATATAATCATAATTTTTTTTTTCTTAGTTTTTATTTTAAATACGTAGATTTAAACGTAAAATTTTTTTATTAATTTTTTAATAATTATTTAAAATTTAATTTTAATTAATTTTTTGTTGGTATACCAATATAATTTCAATTAATTTTAATCGTATAACATTTTATTACTCAATCGTATATAAATTATTTTGACGTTTTTGTTGTGTAGTTTTCTTCTGTTTTTTTTTTTTGCTTTTTTTTAAATTTTTTAAGTTGTAGCAATAGTAAATTTATTAAATTTAATTAATTTTTTAAATATTACTATTTTTTTCTTTAATCTTAACTTTTTACATTTATGATATTTTTCGTATACATTTGATTTGAACATTTGTTTTTGTTTTCTCTTATTGTTTTATTATTGTTTTTAATTCAATTTTCATTTTTTTTCAATTTATTTAACAAATATTTTTAATTTTAAGGTAGTAAATTTGAAAAAACAAAAAAAAAACCAAGGTTAATTTTTAAAATTAATTTATTTTAAAGAAACAATAGACCTTGTAAGATATAAATGGAAGATTTTTGCTAGAAACTCTGATAAAAGTTAAAAAGTATGACGTTTGTATGTTAAGGTAGTTCTGAGAACAAAATTACAGTTATTATTATTATAGAGCCAATAAAGTTTATATGTATTGTTATCTGAATGAATTTCAGAATTGTGTGACAAAATTTAATTCGAAAATTACCCTTCTGATGTAAATTTTTTTTTTCTATAACCAAATAGAATATTGAAAAATTGAGTTGAAACAAATTCCGTTTTTTGTTTGATTATTGCTAAATGCAATTGAATTTCCGAAAGGATTGATTTCCTTTTCTGTTTTAATACGCAAGTGGATTGCGTATATTACACTTTCGATGATTTCTAAAATACAATTTAAAATATAATTGTTAAAGGCTATTAATAATCATACAACTAAGAAGCTTTAAGATTTTTTTAATTTTCATTAGTTTCAAATATAACATTAACAACTCGTTTTTACACGGTATCGCTTCGGAACTGGCAATAATTTTGATTAAAACTAAATTCGTTGGTTTTAATCAAAATTATTTCGTTTATCGTTTTGAAAACGTTCTTATTTCTCTCATCATGACAGTTCATTGCCTCGTCAAAGATTGCTGAACTGAACTTTTTCTCTTGTTTTTTTTAAGTTTAAAATAAAATTCTCAAAACCTCCGTGGTAAAGTTGAAGTTGACTCAACTTTTTCAAAGAGAGAAAACAAAAAGCTGCACAGAAAATATGGAAAATGAGAGAAATTTAAAATTTTATATAAAACATAATGTGCGTGTGTTACTTCGGTAAATGTAAAATGAGCCAATGAATCCAACTTAGCAAATTGATTTTCAAATTATCAGAGATTAAGTAAGCGTTTACACGATCAAAATTTTCAAAAATAAAGTAGAAAATTATGAATTAGAATAAGAATTTTAGCAAAAACCTTCAATTTTTATGACATTTTACTTTTTTGACAGAACCCGTTCTATTCAAGAATGTTAATTAAATTTTTTTTTTTTGGATTTTTCAAATCTTAAATTTTTTTTTCTTTGTTTTTTTTTTTTTTTTTGTTAGCGAAAAATGTATGTTTGTATGTAATTTTGGCAAGATGATTTACGTATAAATGTTAATTAATTAATTTTTTTGTGTTTTGAGATAAAAAGAATAACAAATTAAAATTTTTTACTTCAATGAATCAATTTTTTCTTTCTTTTTTTCTTTCTCTTTCTTTCTTTCTTCAACTACGTTTTTTTTTTTTTTTAATTTCATATCATAATCATTTACAACCTTAATCGAGACCAAATATAAATTTTTTTTTATTTATTTATACAAATTAAGTACAATTTTAATTTTTTTGTTTTTTTTTTTTTTAATTTTAACTTTTTAATTTTATGTTTAATTCAATATTGTTAATTTAAATTTGCTTTTTAATAAAAAAAAAAATACTCAAATGCGAAATACTTAAATAAAAGAACTGGCAATTATATTTTGTTCCTCTAACTGAAGAACAAAAAGAGCATTCGTATACGTTTTTTTTTTTCTAATATGTTTACATATATGTATATATAAGTATGTGTATAAACATTGTATATATCAAATATATGTATATATACATAGAATTGTTTATAAACATGTATATTGTATTAATATTATAATAATAATTATATTTTATTTAAAAAATTAATTTATTTAATATATTTAATAAAAAGTAAAAAGAATAAATTTTTTTTTTAGTAAAAATTTCACTAAAGACTTTTTTCTTCGAACCATTTAATTTTTTTTTTTATAAACTAAAAATATATGTATGTATATAAAAACAAATAACTTTCAACCTATGAAATAATTAATAAACAATTTTTTATTTTATAAATTTTATGTATATATATATATAAATATGTATATATATATATAAATATGTATATTATATATAATTACGTATAATTGAAAAGTTAATAACTAAAAAAAATATAATAATAATAATAAAATAAAGAACAAAACTGTCTACCCTATAAATTACTAATTTCTTAAATTTTTATTAATTTTTTTTTTTTTTAATTTTACGTATATCAGGTTTTTGTTTTTTTTTTTTTTAAGTATATTTTATTTTATGTACTTTTTTTGTCTGTATGATGAACGCTTTCAAAAAAATTAGCAATCAATTTTATCAAAAGTAAATGTAAACAGTGTGTTATTTTGCTTGTTATCTTTCAAACATAGTCAAGAAAGTAAGGAAAAAATTTTTTAAACAATGTGTCGGAAAAAAAAATTGACATATATTTTCGTACGCTAATAGATTCTCAATTATTATTAGAACGTATTTCTAATAAAAAAAAATAAAATTGAAAACATAATTTTGAAATTGAAAAGAAATACCTTAAACAGTAACACTATTTAATTGTATTTCCCAGTACGAAAAAAAAAATCATTTTTGACAGTTGATTTTGTGACAACTTCGAAGGTTTCAGAAAGCTGATAACAAACGTTTTGTTTTTTAGTACTTTTCTAAGAAAAGTTGAAAAAAATTGAATTCTATTTTCACTCTGTCCTATAAAAAATTCACATAAAAAAATTCTACACCCTTCAACTACAAATTTATTTCCATAAAAGAAAATTTTTACTTATTTCCTCTACTCATCTCCCGTCTAAAAATCATAGTCGCAATGCAGAAAAGTAGCGGGTGGCTTCTTTTACTGTGGCATAGCATGGAAATAGCAAAAATGGCTTTCAAACAAGAAAATTATCACGGCTTTCGTAAAATTTGTATATTCGGCACTTTATATTTCCGAAATTGGCAGATTTCGGAAATAGAAATGGCAGAATTGGCATTGTACCATTTTCCAAAATAGTACTCGTACAAAAGTCAAAAGGTAACACAGTAATTTTATACTGAACTCACGAAATTAACCCTTAAATTCAACACATTATGTTTAAGTCTCTTTGAATTTTTTTCTGGTCTCATCCTAAAGGTATGCAATATTTTGTAATATTTTGATATATAAACGAATTTAATTTAAATAATGTAGTAGATTGCTCTTAAAATCAATATTTTCAGTTGTTAACGGAAAAAATGCTTCCTTACAAACCATTGGTTTGATCCAACTTTATATAAACATCAATCAAAGTTCACAAGTCAACTCCATTTTTAATTATTCTGTCAAATTCCTTTGAACAAAAATCTTAAATGAAATTCTTAATCACAAATATTTTGAAAGCGTTGCCATCGTTCTCTATTGTTTTTACAGTAGTGTATTCATCTAAGTTATACTTTTAGCTTTACTTTTTGTTATATTAAAATATTATTTAATTAAAAATTTTAATATAAGTTTCTTTTGTATTAATATAAATATGTTTTTTATTTTTTTTTTATTTTTTTGTATTTTTTTATTTTGTTTTATGTATCAGTCATAAAAAAATTACGTATATCGATTTTTATCTATTCACCAATTTTTTTTTTATATTTTTGTTTTTTTAAATATTTTTTTGTTTTTGGGTTATGCTTTCCATTTTTGTTTTGTGTTTTTTTTTCTTTTTTGCATGAGAATCTCGTATTATTCGTGAGATTTTATTATAATTAGTACGTATGTTTTGATAAACTTATATAATTTATACTTTTTGTTTATTGAATTATTGTTTCAATTCATTTAGATTATAATTATATACATGTTATATACTGTATATATATATATGATATATTTATAATTTATAGAGGTATATTTACTATATATATATATATATATATGTATTTATATTTATGTACTATATATGTATCCTAAAAGTTTAGTTATTTATTAAGTACCGTTTCTTTTTCAATTAATATTTTACAAGATTTGTGTGTTTTTTTTTTTAACTTATTAAAAATTTCATTATTTTTTGATTTTTTTTTTAATTTTTTTTTTTTTTTGTTTAATCACAACACATTTTCTTTCAATTTACTTTTCATATTTTTTTTTCTTCTTTAATATTAAAACAAAAACGCATAGTTTACTTATGTATGTAAATGTTAAGTAGTAGTAAAATTTCATAAAATTGTGGAAGCTGACAAGAATTTTTAATGCTACAAGATAGTATTTATAGATTTCTAATAAAAAATAAAATATAACTATAATATTAATAATATACATATACAAATTTTATTAATTAATTTATTAATTTTATAAAAATGTGTTTTTTTTTAAGAGATTCTATTACTTTTTTTTTGTTGAGATTTATTTTTATATTATTTTTGTTTTGTAATTTTCGCAGTCAATTAATATTCTGATCAAAAAGAGATTCTATACACATATATACTTTATGGTATATATATATATATATATGGTAACACTTGTAACATTTGTATTGTCAAGAATAAAAGTATTATAAAAAAAAAATTGTCAAGTTAAAAATTTTAAGTATCAAACTGAATTGAATATAAATTTAATAAATGATTTTGATAATTATAATTGAGATTTGTGAAAATAAGATTTTGTAATAATTCTTGTAAGAATTTTCGAAAATTTTGAAAAATTTCATTAAAAATTTTACTTATACTTTGACATAACGTTGTTATTATTACAACAATATTAAACAACATCTGTCCTTAAGAATTGTAAGAAACAATTTAGTTAAAGTAAAATTTTCTGCCCCAGATTAATTTTGTATGCTGAAAATTTATTAAAATAACAAAAATGTTTACCAAGCAGTCATTTTCTTCATAAATAATTAAGCTTATATATTGCGCATAAATCATCATATACAATACAACTTGGAAAATAACCTTATATATGGACGTATATAACATGCTTGTAGAATCAAAAATATTCATCTGATAATGGTACCCAATTACAAAATAAATGCATTTAATATTAATTTTTTGTTATCAATAAACTTGTGAAAAAAATTTGTTTTTTGTTTTGCAAGAGCCATACTTTCAGCAAATAGACACCAAATACATATACATATATGTTCATATGTATGTACTTAAAATAAATTTTATATTTATAAATAATTTTTTTTAAATTTTATAAATAATTTCAGTATACCAAATATAAAAAACACTTATTTATTTTTAAACATTAAGTTATTTACCAGTTGACTATAACAACCGAGTTATTTTAATAAACAATAAAAGATTTTCGAACTTGAAGAATATTCTTTATATGAGTAAATACAAAGAAATTCAATAGACGCAAAAGAACAGACCTATGTAAAGTCGTATAACAATTAAATTATTGAATTGAAAATTATAATTTAAATAAAATTTAAATTAATTTTCAAACGTACAATAAACACAAATAATTTTTCTAAAAAATTTTTTAATATAATTTTTAGGGGGAAGAAGAACGTGAGGATGAATGCTTCTATGAATATTATAAGGATAATATTAAAATTAATTCATTGGAATTTACCTGGTCACAATTTAATATTATATTATTGAAAGCTTTAAAAAAATTTTAGTATGCGAACAAAAGCTAATTATTAATTTATTTTTTTTTTTTACATATAAGAATAATTTTCCTTTAGTTCATCAATTAATTATTTTATATGTATATATATATATATATAATTAATTAATTAACTGGAATTGGAAATAAATTCAAATATTTGTACAACATGCAGAACACAAAAAAAAAAGATAAAAGAAAATTATAAAGATTTCTAAAAAAAAAAAAAATTAAAAACAATACTTAAAAAACAACAACAGAAAAAAATATTTTTTTTCTTAAAAATCTAAAAAAAAAATTTTTTGGAGCAATTAAACACTTTTATTTAAAAATTAATTATTTTTTTTGCACCAAAAATAATTCTAGTTTTATTCAAAATATTAAAATTATGAAACAAAAAAAAAAATATTTTTTTTTAATTTTTCACAATTTTAACACGATAATGACACCTCACACGCTTGATCAAATGATTAGCGTGTGTAATCAACCACACACCCAACATTCACCATAAATGTTGTTGAGATAAGAAATTTAATAATATTATGAAATTTTAAATTTAATGAAAAAAAAAAAAAAAATATTTTTTTATGTTGTTTTTTATTTTAAAGAATAAAAAAATTAATTAAAAACATTTAATAATATTTTAAAAAAATTATTGGCGAGCTATAATATATGGGCCTCTTGCAAAAACGAAGTTTCTCATTTTTAGTTTCAATTCTTTTGCATTTTCGATATTTTCTTGACTTGCGCTTTTATCGTTTCAATTTTCTTATTGTCCAAAAGTATAAATGATGTGCACTTATTTTATTAAGTAGTTTCCAATTTTTTTTTTTTGTTCAACTTTTTTTCTTTACAACACAATTTTTTTTTTGTTTTTTTTTTTTGAAATCGAATTTTAATTTTATACATATATACTTATACATATGTACGTATGTATTTATATGTATATATATATATTTTTTGTTTTGTACATTTTTGAATCAAAATATTAATTTTATTTTATCGTTGCAATTGTTAGCAAAAAAAAAAAAAACTAATTTTGAAAAAAATTTTTCTTAAATTTACTTGGAAAAAAAAAATCGGAGAAAATTTTCTTAATTTTTTGTTAATGTATTTTTTAAACTCACACGTATAGAAACGGAGAACTACAAAAAATTTTGTAAATGAAACGTAGTGAATGAAACAAAATTAAGAAGAAAATTAAATAAAAAATTAAAAAAAAATAAAATTATTAAAATATAAAATTAAATCAATTTAAGAGTTTTGTAAACCAAAGCATAATGTGATTGGTGTAGAATAATTTTTTTTTTTGTTCTATGTCTCCTTTGAGAATGATATTGTTATACGAAATTTTTTTGATATTCTGAATTGTTAATGAAATTTGAAACCACCAGAAGAATAACAGAATTAAAATTTTTTTATAAATTTTCTTGTTTGACGTTGTTTTGTTTTCTTTTCTTTTGAATATTAAAAATTTGCCAATTAATTTTTCTGGGTGTACTTTTAAGTTTTATATTTTGTATTGTGTAATTGTTGTTTGTGTATTGTATAATGTAGATAATTGAGAATAAACGAGTTTTTAATCCTTTTTTTTATGTTTTTTTTGGATTCCTTGTTCTATACGTGTCAGTTTTAAAAACCCATTAATTTTTTTTTTTTGTTTTTCTATTATTTTAAAGATTTTAGTGAATTTTTTTTTTTTTTAACATCTTCGGATTTTAAATTTTAGTAATTATTATTAAAATTTTTATTTAAATGTTTTGTTTTAAATTTAAATTTTGTGGCATTTTTTTTTTCAGTTATTTGATTTTTTTTTTTTGTTTTTTTTTTTTTATATTAGTTTTTTTGTAATTTTTTGTTTGTTATTTTTGTTTGTTTTTTGTTTTAATTTAAATTATTATTATTATTTTTTTTTTTAAATTAAAAATCTTTAATCCCAGGGCATTGTGAGCACCCGCTTCGTTTTTGCAAGAAGGTCAGAATCGTACTACGAACATGGGTGCACCACCGCATTGTAGCTCGCCAATATAGGACCATGTGCTCCCGCGAAGGGGGTACTCACAACGTCTGGTGTGCTAGCTCCATCGGTGTGTGATGTTGAATCTGCATTACTACGACCTTCACCATTCGCTGAACTATTTAATTCTGGTGGTTTGGTGGTGTCCCGTTCGTCAATCACTAAATCTATTGGCATTTTACCCTTTAAACATGATATATATCGATGACAGAAATTATCGCATAATTCATGTACCTGTAAAATAAAAATTATTTTTGATTGTAAAATTTTAAATTTTATTTTTTTTTTTATTGAGTTTTATATCATACGTATGATAAACGTATGAATAAATATTTGTAATGTAGGTATGTATACTTAAATAAAATTGTGGCACTAGAAATGTTTGAAAGAGTTAATAAGAATAGAAAATAATTTTAGCTTCAAATACACCTGAATATTTACATACATATATAATGTAAGAACACCTAATATTATATCAATACATACATAAATAAATTTGCTTATAAATCTATGAATACACAATTATATAAACATAATAATTGTATTGTATTGTAACAATCGAATTTATTCATTGTCCAAATATATTTAAAGATCCATACATACACATATGTATACTTCTATACCTGTATTTTAATGATATAACAAATATATTCAGATATTTAATATCAAAATAATAATATAAGTATGTGCATGTGTGTATGTATGTAATAAATAATAAGAAATGAATGCTAAAGAATTAAAAATTTTAAGAGGAAAAAAGTTGATCAGAAAAAAAAAACTATACTCGTATATAAAAAAATTTTTAAAAGACAAAAAACTCCAAAACTTGAATATCCAAAACGATATCACTGATATGTTTTTGCTTTGGGGCAGTGAACCGGTTTTTTTCTTTTAATTCTTTTTTTTTTTTGTCCAATACTTTTGTTTTGTTTTTGTATTGTTGAAATTTTTTGTGCATATTTTAATTTTATATTTGTTTTTTTTTCTTTGTTTTGAAACATAAACAGAATTATGATCTTGTCGCCAATTCGATGATGACCAAAAAATATTAAAATAAAAAAATTACCCACATATTATGTCATTACTGTCATTAGGCATTTTGAGCATACGGAATTATTCGTATTGTAACCAACTTAGATACAATTTTGAAAGAAATTCATATTAAGTTCCTTAAAAACTGATTACATAATATGGGAATACAAATTTTTACGCACATATTAAAAATATAAAGGTCTCATAGCTCAATCAGTTAGATTCAGCGTCTAAATGATGTTTTATTCTTACATATTTATATGTACATACATAAGCTCATCGATTGGTACAAGTGTTTGGTACTAACCTTCTATATTGTTATTGTGATTTAGCAAGAAAAATTGTTTGCTAAAATGATAATATTACTTTCTAACTAGAGAATTTTCACTTTCTTTCAATTAACAGTAAAACCAACATTTACTGATTAACAATATTAGTTATAAGAACTCTCCAATTATGTCCATATCTAAGAAAAATTTCATTATTCTAAAAATCTAAACTAAATACATAAATGAGATGAATTTTGTTCTGACACAATTTTGACAGTAAGCATTTAAAATGTCACCTATTTTCTATTTTGTAATTTTGACAACAAGCTTATAAATTTTTTAAAAACCTAATAAGAAATAATAACTTCTACATACATACACACACGTATACTTATAATATTAAGTAAAATAATATTTATAGCGTTAATGTATACATTTTATTTGTCGCTACTTTTGGATATTGAATCTGTTCTACACACAAATCGTACACACAAATATAATAATTATACATAATAATAATAATGTGTGTGTGTGTATGTATATACAAAAATATTGCTTATGTTTTGCAAAAGAATTTTAAGATTTCCTATAGTTTAAAAAGTTTCTAGGTCATAAATTATTATTATTATTTTATTACGCTTACAAAGCGCTCAAAATTATATATGTACATACATATATGTATATGTATATGCATAATATATAAATTTTGTTCATAATTTTATATATGTATGTATGTATATGTACATACATTTGCTCTCATATTAATGAAATAAATATGATTTTAAAAAAGTTATACATTAAATCATAACAAACCATAAAATTTTGGTGGTCATTGGATTTTGATTAAATGACATAAAAGTTATGGCACGAAAAATTAATAAGATTTTTTCTTTTTTTAATAATGAAATTAGTAAGGTAAATTATATAACAATCATAAATAATAAAGTTGGGTCAAACCAATGGTTTGTATTGTAGCACTTTTCCCTTCAACAAGTGAAAATTCTGCTTTTAAATACAGTCTATGTATACCTATCAAACTATTAAAATTATTTTCATTCATATACAAAACTATTTCTAGAATTGCATATTTTTAGGATGACGCATATATGCAGTGTTTGAAATAAAGCAAAAATTAATATAAAAAGGGGTTAACATAACGCTCGATTTTAAGGGTTAATTGTGTGAGTTAAGAAAAATAATTATATTTTTTAATTTCATGGAATTTACCGTTAGCTTTTTGCGTTTATAAAAATTTGGAAAAGCTTGCGGTTTCGGAAATATAAGGTGTCAAAAATTCAAATTTTACGAATTTCAAGAGGTGATAACTTGAGAGGGGGTGGAGATGGAAAAAAATTTTCTTCTAACGAAATAAACTATTTATTAAGGTCTAAAAGCCCCTAAAATTTCAATCTTCTACAGACCAGGATCTAGAAGAAAAACGAGATCAAAAATTTGGAAAAAAAGGACTTTAAATAACGATAAATTTGAGCGGCCATTTTGTTTTTCTTAAGTTGAACTATAGTATACCGCGCTAGGGGAAGCAAGCCACTGCCTGTCTGCGTTTGAAAAATTTCCAAAATGCTTATAGTTTCATTGTAACAAATATTTAAAAAAGGCCATTTTTAGGGTTTTGGGGGGGTATAACTTCTAGAGGGGGGGAGATAGGTAAAAATTTTGTTCTACGGAAATAAGTTTCTAGTAAAGATCTATGTACATATGAAATTTCAGCTTTCTATCTTCAAGGGTGTAGAAGTTTTGTAAACAAAAAAAGTGTCCACGGACGGACGGACGGACGGACAGAGTGAAACTAATAAGCACTTTTTTCAAAAAATTTTTTGGAAAAGCGCTAAAAAGCAACTATATCTGTAGGTAAAATTATTATCATGCTTACATAATAAAACATTATATATGTATGTATGTATATGTAAGTAGACATTTCCATATATTATTGTTTTTGATAAGTCACTGAAAAACTTATGCGCTTATGTGACAAAATTAAAACTATTTAAATTTTGTTCTTTCAAGCGTGTTTAGAATGGGTTTTAACGGGTTTATATAAACATAAATGAGTTTTTCGCTTTTAGGGCTCTTTCACCTATCGCTTCGGTTTTCATTTCTGATCCAAACATTAATTTCATTAAAATGTGGAGTGCAATGTGGAGTGGAGTGAAAAAATTGAATTTTGTGCAACTGGCATTGAAATATGATGATTTGAGTATGAACGATGGCTAAGGCATCAAATATTATTCACGGATATTGATTTATTTCTTATGTTACGAGTTATTAAAGCTCATGAATAATTCTTAATGTATAATTTTCCGTTTAGCAAGTAAAGTACAAACATATATAAAGAATATTATCGACACTAATGAAATTTTTTTGTTAAAAATTTTAATTGATTAGTAGATTTTTCAAAAGTTGTCAAAATGTTGAGCCCGTATTCAATTAATTTGAATGCGGAACAAGAATATTATTAAAATAAAAATTGAACAGCTATCAATTTTAATAAAAAAATATTTTAAAAATCAAAGTAGTTTGTGCTTACACATACATATGCTCTTCATAAAGGTTTTCGTTCCTCTGTTCATTATCACTCATAACACATTCACTTAAATCCAATCTTAAAATTATAGCAAAAACATTATGTATAACAAAAACTATGAAGTGAAAAATAAATTTAAACAAATTAAACATTTTAAAATTCTCATTGACAAAAAAAAAGCATCATTTCTTTTGAATTAAAACAATTGATATTATTTGAGAAATACCGCAAAAATTAAAATTTTTGAACTTTAAAATGCCGCGGCTTTTTTTCCATACATACATACGTACATATATTATTTTAGCTCAACAAGCATTTTTAAAATCATTCGATTAAGCTATATTTAATTTATATATGTACCTACATGTGCATATACATATATTATGTTGTATGTATATTAATACAATTATATTAATAATACAAAAACATATTAACCATATTACTATAACCTGTTTCATGTTATAAATTTTACGTTCTACCGTTTTTATTACCGTTTAAAAATACAATTTTAGAATTATTCAATAGTTCTTTTTTTCTTGTCGTTATTGATTTTATTTCTCTTTCCTTTATCTTTTATTTTTTTTTTTTCAAACAAACTGGCTGCCTGGTTCATCAGGAACAATAATATTGTTGAAAAGAAAATGGAAAAGAACAAAAAAAAAAAAGAATTAATAATATCGTCCATCTTTGTCATCATCATGCATGAGCATCTTCATCATCATTCTGCATTGCATTGAACAGCGATCAATATCAAAAAAACAATAATAAAAAAAAATAATAAAGTTTTGCATTTATTAATGAACGTATGTATACCTTCCATTCGCTTATAAACAAACATACGAACTGTATTACGAAGAAACTAGAAGTGCGATTTAAAATTCGAATTTCAGAGACTCAATCGAAATTCCTTATACTTATAGTTATACAACAGCAAAAAAAGAAACAAAAATAATAATAATATTTATTAAGGAATAACTTTAAATCTTAAAATTTTAATTTTTTGAATGAATTTTTGATTGAGGAACGTTTTTTATGCGACAAAATCAAGTTTGCAAAAAAAAAATCAACACCGGCTAAAGAACCCTTTATTTATTATCAAAAATTCATAAATATTTCTTTTGTTTTTGTTTTAATGCTCAAAATACACAAAAAAAAAAAGTTTAAAAAATTTGTCCAGCAGTATTGTCTCACGATCTTCTGTTCATCACACAAAAAATATTGCAATTTTTGCAAGGTTAAAAAAGCAAAAGAGAGAAAAACAATCGTAAAGTTTAATAAAAACAAAAATGTCAATTTCGTTTTTGTTTTTTGCTCGTATTTAATTTTGTTCATTTTTATTTTTTTGCAAAACTATGTTTCTCGTTAAATTTACGTTCTTTTTTTCGTTCAGA